GTAGAGTGCTGTGGCATCACAGCTCACAGCAACCTCCAGCTCTTGGGCTGAGGCAATTCTCTTGCCTCAGCCTGCCGAGTAGCTGGGACTACAGGCACCTACCACAATGCTTGGCTATTTTTTTGTTGCAGTTTGGCCAGGGCTGGGTTTGAACCCGCCACCCTCAGTATATGGGGCCAATGCCCCACTCACTGAGCCACAGGTACCACTCTAAAGCTACTGTTTTAAGTGACACTTAGCAACATGTTGTAAGTGTTCTTAACTATTTGTGTGCAAATGTATCGTGGCATTGTCAGTTGAACAATGAGGTATTATGTATAGATTTACCATAGTATTTTTTTTTTTTGAGACAGGGTCTCTGTTGCCCAGATAGAGTACCGTGGCATCATTGCTCACAGCAACTTCAAACTCTTGGGCTCAAGCAATTCTCTTGCCTCACCCTCCCAAGTAGCTGGGACTACAGGTGCCTGCACAGTGCCCAGCTAGTTTTTCTATTTTTAGTAGAGACGGGTCTCAATCTAGCTCAGGCTACTCTCAAACTCCTGAGCTCAGGTGATCCACTGCCTCAGCCTCCTAGAGTGCTAGGGTGAGCTACTGTGCCCAGTCTGCCATAGTATTCTAAAGTGTGTTGGCTATTACAGGGACAAGTGTTAGCCAAAATTTTATCTTTGCAAGAACACATAATTAAATTTTATAAAGAACAGAATCAGCAATGTGAATTATAAAAGATTTCTATAGGAATGTAGCATTTCTGAAACAGCATGTGTGATATCATGTCAAATCAAAATGACTTGAATATTTGGCAAGGTAAAACTAAATCTATATATAATATGTGGCAAAAAATCCAAGCATTTAAGAAAACTATCTTTTTTTCAAAATACTTCTTCAAAATGAAATTTTGGATGAGTATTTTCCCCAGTTACCAAAAGTCATTGATGAGGAGGATAATATATGTGAATTATTTGAAGACTATGCAGCTGTTATAGACCTGTATATTGGAGAATATATTGAAAAGTTCACTGACTTTGAGAATCATGACATCACACTCAAATTAGTGTTTCAGCTTCACCTAGTTGATAGCACCTAAAGAAATACAGATGGAATTGACTGCACTCTCAGTAGATGACATTTTTCCATATCATCATTATTTACTTTTTTATTACAGATTAACGTGAGGGTACAAACAATTAGGTTACATTGTTTGCATTTGCTAGGTAAAGTCCAAGTTGTAGTTGAGTCCTTCACCCATGAGGTGTCATACACCCTTACATTTTGCCCTTTAGGTGTGAGTACACCAGTCCCCCTCCCCTCTTCCTCAACTCCCCTCCGAGGAGATGACATTTTAAAGTCATTGCGTGATGCTAAGAAATATCTAGTTGAAGTAAAGAAAAATGAAGTAGAATACCCACACCTTCAGCAACATTCTAAAAAAAATGCTTTCTTGCTTTTCCACCACTTATTTTTGTGAATCTGTATTCTCCTACCTAACCCAAATCAAGATGCCCTTAAGGTCACAAATGACTGATACCCACCTAGAGGATCAATGGAAACTGTGGACATCCATGCTATGACCAAATATTCAAATGCTTTCCAACAATAGGCAGACACAATAAAGTCATTAAAAAGTGAACTAACTTTAAACAGTTTATATTTTTTGAATTTATTAAGTACATAGTAGTTAGATTTTCAGAAACTAATATACATTTTTAAGTTTAGCTAACTGAAGATTCTTGAATGTGGCCTTATTTGATTATGGCAAAATTAGTGCAGCCTTCCAACATGAAAATGCCTCCCTCCACTTTAAGGCATAAAGGAAAAACAATATTGTATAGTTACACTAAAATCTGGCAAAACATATTTCAAGAGAAAGAGCATTCTTAAAATAATAGAAAGGTTACTAATAATTTTTAAAGGTTCAATTCTCCAAAAAGTTATAGAGGGAGGAGTCCAAAATGGCAGACTAGAGACATCTCATCAGCCACTAAGTCCAAAATAGCAGACTAGAGACATCTCATCAGCCGCTCTAGTCCACCTAACACCTAAGCACAGAGACAAGGAAAATTTCAGAGAAGGAGGAAGTGAAAGGAGAAAGTGGAGGAAGGAAGTGAACAATTAGAAAACACACATGAAAAAGAACCAATAACAACAACAAAGAAAACCCAAGGGATCATGAGGCAGCTACCACAGACTTTCCCACCTATAAAAAAATTATGGAAATGACAGAGAATTTAGAGTATTGATGGCAAACACAATTGAAGGGATTGAAGGGAAAGTGCAAAACCACCAAAAGGAAATCCAAAAATTGACCCAAGAAATGAATGAAAGACATAATGAAATTAGAAAGGATATATCAGAGCTTAAGGAATTGAAAGTGTTATTCAGGGAACTTAAAGATTCAGTAGAAGATATCAATAACAGATTAAAGCATGCAAAAGAAAGAATATTAGAGCTAGAGGATAAGGCTCTTGAGCTAACTCAAGCATTCAAAGAGGCAGAAAAGAGTGAAAGCAGAGAAATCTCTTACAGAATTATGGGACCTCATGAAGTGTACAAACATGATTTCTAGCTATTCCTGAAGGAGAAGAAGAGTAACCCCAAGGCTGCTGGAGGGTATCATAACTGAAAACTTCCCAAGCATCACCAAAGATTCTGACACACTCCTTTTAGATGGGTATCAAACCCCAGTTAGTCTCAGTACAAACAGAGCTTCTCCTAGACACATTGTTGGCCATGGTCAAAATGAAAGAAAATTCTACAAGCAGCCAGGAGTAAGCAACAATTGACCTACAGGGGCAGATCCATCAGTGTGACAGCCAGCTTCTCCGCTGAAACTTTATAAGCTAGAAGAGATTAGTCTTCGACTTTCAACTTACTCAAACAAAACAACTTCCAGGCTAAGATCCTATATAACCTACAAAACTAAGTTTCATAGTCAATGCAAAAATCAAGTATTTCACTTACAAGCAAGCATTAAGGAAATTTGCCACTGCAAGACCAGCTCTGCAGTAAATACTCAAACCTGTATTAGACACAGACTATCACAAAGGACCACCAGCAAAGAAACACACAGAAATAAAAGGTCAAAGCCTAACTTCCATAACGGCCCAAGTGATAAAACTAGGTGTCAGATCTCCACAAAAAGTTAGAGAAATCTACAGTGTTAGATACCTAATGCATAACCTCCAAAATAGAACAAGCAGGAATGGACCAAATAAAAGGAGAATTACAAAAGCCATCATTAGGTCTCTGTGCCTGTGGCTCAAGCAGCTAAAGTGCCAGCCACATACACCTGAGCTGGCAGGTTCGAATCCAGCCGGGGCCCACCAAACAACAATGATGGCTGCAACCAAAAAATAGCCAGGCATGAGGTGGAGGCAGGAGAATAGCTTGAGCCCAGGAGTTGGAGGTTGCTGTGAGCTGTGATGCCATAGCACTCTACTCAGGGGCAGCTTGAGGCTGTGTCTCAAAGAAAAAAAAAAGAGCAAAAGCCATCATTAGAATAGAATATTTTCATACATCTCCAGAATAGATAGAACAGAGAAACAAAAATTATTAAAGTGGTCATTTATTAATGGACATTTGAGTTATTTATGGTTCCCTCCATCCCAAACAATGCTTCATTAAGTACCCTTGTATGGACTTTGTTATGCACATATGACCACTAAATCTATAGGACATATTTCTAGAATTGGTGAAACAAAGGCATTTTAAGTTATCAGAAACATTGACTCATTTCCTTCCAAGAAGTTGCACCGATTTACATTGAATGGGAATTCCTATGTCCTTCACACATCAATGTCATCACGTTGCAACACTTCCAGAGGGAGAAGGAGCAGGCATTTGTAATTACCATCCTTTTCAGAAATGAAGAATCTAAGGCTAAGAAACTCAGTCTCTAAAAGAGCCTGAATCAGAACCTTGGTTTCTGGAGTCCCAGTCCAGAAGCCTAACTTGGGAGTAGAGAAGGTGGTCCCTGACCAGTCAACTCACTGATTTCACAGCTCCACCCAAGGCAGCCTTGGGTCCAGAAATATGCAGAACTCCCTGAGGGAAGGATTAGGATGACCCAGCTGCTGGAGTTCCCATCTAACTCCCACCTGACAGGAGCCTATTGGCAGTGGAAACAGTCTGCCCAGCCCTCACTTGAGAATTTGTTGCAGTGAGTGTTGCTGGACTAATGAATCTGTTCACCTGTCATCTAAGCTAATTAACAAGTGAATGAGAGATTAACAATTTCTTTCTTTCTTTTTCTTTTTTTTTGAGACAGAGCTTCAAGCTGTCACCCTGGGTAGGGTGCCGTGGCAACACAGCTCACAGCAACCTCCAACTCCTGGGTTCAAGCAATTCTCTTGCCTTAGCCTCCCAAGTAGCTGGGACTATAGGCATCCGACATAATGCCTGGCTATTTTTTGGTTATAGTTGTCATTGTTGTTTGGCAGGTCTGGGCTGGATTCAAACCTACCAGCTCAGTTGTATGTGGCTGGCTCCTTAGCCATTTGAGCCACAGGCACTGAGCTGAGATTAACAATTTCTTTTTGAAACAGAGTCTAACTCAGTCACCCAGGCTAGAGTGCAATAGCATCATTGCTCACAACAACTTCAAACTCTTGGGATCAATCTATCCTCTTGCTTCAGCCTCCCAAGTAGCTGGGACTACAGGCCCCTGCCACAATGCTAGGCTAGTTTTTCTATTTTTAGTAGAGATAAGGTCTCACTCTTGCTCAGGCTGGGCTTGAACTCCTGAGCTCAAGGGATCCACCTGCCTTGGCCTCCCAGAGTGCTAAGATTACAGGTGTGAGCCACCATACCTGGCCTAACAATTTTATTTTTACCAGTATTTATAGGAAAGTCAGGAATTTTGGAGAAGAGCAAGGTGATTTCCTCAAAGAGCTTTTTTTTCTCTTATTTCCCTTTGTTATTTTTATATCTGTATAGTAAAAGTAAGTATAAACAATGTTATTATAGTATACATTAAACAG